ATAAGAATCGACGAGAGTTATGAATAGAAAACGATCGAAATATAGGTAAGCTCTGGTATGGTATGGGTGAAAGAGAAGGAGGAGGAGGAGGAGGAGGATGAGTAGGAGGGGTGATGGTGTTGGTGGTGGGGGATATATAAACGTGGGTAAAAATATGAGAATAGTAGGAGCAAAGTTTAAGAAAACATCGTCCTTTTTCCGCCATTGTATGGAAGAACGACGAGCGAACGAGGTAAAACGCCGGAATGGTGGAAAAAAGATTTATGGAAAATGCGGGAATGGCGTCGAAGTGCATAAAGTCGAAGTCGTTTGGGTCGTCGTAGGATGGTGGTTAACGGGTAACGATGGTGGTGGTGGTAAAGATGGGAATGAGAGAAGGGTGGAAGAAAAATAAAGTAAAAGAAGAGAGACGATGAACGGAAAGAAAGAAAGAGAGAGAGAGAGAGAGAGAGGATCGAGTGAAAAATAAAAAGAAAAAAAAAGATGAAAGAGAGAGAGAGAGAGAACAGTTAGAGGAGCGAAAAAGGAATCTTCACGGGGCATAGAATTTTCCCCCGTAGTCTAAATTAAACGACGAAATTCTCGACTTTTCGTGTAAACGGGAGTACGCCTTCGACCGAAGATGAAGGAAGGAAGGAAAGAAGAAAACTCGAGTTGGTTTTCTTCAATGTACGAACAAAACGAATTGTTTGACCGTACCCACCGAACTTCTTCGAAATCTCTTCGAATAAAAAGAATTCTCTCAAAGGATCTTTTTTCTTCGTTTTTGTTTTACCGTGGTTTCGGGACTCGTGGTCGTATCTATTTTTTTATTTGTATTTTTATTAAAAAGAAAAAAAAAAGATACAATGGAAAATAAATTGTGAAAATATAGATTAAAATCGATCGGATCTTATTTGTACGAATTAATTTAGGAATAATTCTATAGATTTTTGTCCAACATATTAAAACTGTTCCGTAATTTCGTTCGTATGGGACTTTTGCATGATAGACCCCGTAGATGGTTGGCTAATATCGAAAAAGAATTAAATATATTATAATTTCATTTAAATAAACTGAAATTTTGTTTATTTTTTCTATCACCTTTAATAAAGAAAAACACAAAGAAAGGAAACAATACAAATTTTTTTCGCGTAATCGTAACGTAGCTCGTAAAAAAAAGGAAACAACCGTGAAGATATTAAAAAAAACAAAGTGACGAGTGTTATCGCGTAATAATTTTCGTTAGGAAAGAAAAAAAAAAAAAAAAAAAAAAAAANGAAACAACCGTGAAGATATTAAAAAAAACAAAGTGACGAGTGTTATCGGTACAAAATCGTCGTTAGGAAAAAAAAAAAAAAAAAAAAAAAGAAAAATAAAATCTATGGAGATTTGAAGGGGTCGGGTAGATACGTGCTTTGGCCGTGAATAAAGTTTCGCGTTTATAGTACCTACGTACTCTCTCAGATATTATATGAGATATCGGGGCTTATGGTGATGCCTAAGCGATGGTTTTCCACAAGGACCCTTGAGGCAGCCGAGTTCAAGGATGCAGAAGGCGCAAGGATATAGATATATAGGCTTTAACGTCGAAGTACAAGGGAAGCTTTTCGAAAGTGCAACCAGCCGGTTTTCCCGTCTACGCCTATTGGTTGTAAACGTTGGAACCATCTGTCCGAGATATGAGGGCCTTACATACGTTCTCAAAATCTATTTCTGGCGGACATCGATCCGTGAAGGAAGAATGGGGGTGGGGGTGAGGATGGGGATGGGGAATGGGGGGGTAATAAGTTATCCAAGTGCCCAACTTATCCCTCCTACGAGATTCACGAATCCAAATATCTGATCGTATGAAAATTCATTCCTTCCGTTCTTACATACGTGATCTTTGTAAAAATCATATGTTAATTTCTTTTTCCACCTTTCATAAACATAGGAGGAACTTTGTACTATTAGAATTTTTTAAAAACAAATTTGACCAAAAGTTTCTACGCGATTTGAAATGTATTAATTATACCTTTTTTCTTTTTTTTTGTTTTTGTTCAAATTACAATCAATTTTCGAGGCTTATTAGTTGTACATTTGAAAAGATAGAAAAAAAACTACCTTTTTATTAGGAATAAAAATGAAAAAGAAGGAATAACGAAATTATTTAAGCATTTTGTGACTAACATTGTAACTTTTGATCTATTCTGCACTTAACAAAAATATATACCAAAAAGTTGGCATTTCCTTGCGTAATCACGAATTAATTTAAAATTGAATAATCAATGTTATTTTGTAACATTCCAACGTTGTAATTTCGACGAATAAATATTTCCAAAAAAACGTTGATAAATTTAGAGAAAAAGAAAAAAGAAAATCATTAAAGGATATAGTTAGAGAGTTAAATGATATAATATATTATTATACTTCGTGAGAGAATTATTGAAAGCTCGAACCGTACGTAAAAAATAAAAAAAAAAAATAAAAAAAAAAAAATAACAGAGAGATGCACTTTAGAGTTGATTAATTGTAAATGAAACATGAATATAATAAATATTTGATAATTTAGGAGAGCACTTATCGCACGCCAACCTTTACCAACGGAATATTCGTACTAACATGAGCTTAACATAAAGAGAGAAAGCTTTCGACGGTAACATTCCGGTAAAGCCGTATGTACGTCCGTCCGTCCATCCGTCCTACCGCGTCGTTAATTTTGACTCTGCATCGTACTTCACAATTTCTCAAATGTACCATGCGAAACGAAATATTCCCTGCTAGCTTGCATTCATCATGCTCGGGACAGACGTCTTTTCGTGTGTTGACGTGAAAGTAGTAACCCCGGGTTTAGCTTATAAACGCACCACACACTCATCCCCTCCTCCTCTTCCTCCTCCTCCTCCTCCTCCTCTCACATAACCACTGGTTGTTGAATCTTTCCAGTATGTGTGTTACATTAAATAGGTCAATTTAGAATTAGTTTGATACATGTAGAAGTAAATACGTATGTATTTATGTATTTATATATGTATGTATATATGTATGCATATATGTATTTGTGTACGTGTGGGGGTGGGGGTGTATAGGCGTGGGTGTTTGTGTCTACTCAGCTAAATTACCGTACGTTATGTTAGGACAAGCGAATCGTGCTAATTAAGACGACGAATAAAAGAATAAAAAAAAGAGAAAGAGGGAAAGAAAGAAAGAAAGAAAGAAAGAAAGAGAGAGATGAAAAGAGAAAGTCAAGGACGAAAGGAAACGAAAAGGATTTACCGAGTTGTTCAATTAAAAGAAAATAGAATATAATCCCCTGTGTGGGTGATGGGGGGAGGGGGTGAAAGGGAGGTAGGGGGAGGTCTGGGGAATACAGTATACATAGCCGCACAAATTTATTTTAATCCTAGCACCGGTAGAACCTTTAGTATTAAGAGTCCCATTTATAGAACTAGGACTAGAGATAAGCGAGCCACTTTCGTGTCTCCTGTTCGTATTTTCTTTTTTCTTTTTTTTTTTTTGGTCTTTTTGCCTTTCTTTTTCTCGTATTTCTAATCGCCTTTTCCTTTATTTTCCTTAACACGTCTAGTGGGAATACAACATGATATTTTACTTTTTTTTTTTTTTTTAAATCATATCTACATATATGCGTATAAGTATATGTTCGTATGTTTTCATGAATATAATCGGTACGTTAGTGGAATTTAGTGCGAGATAAGAAGAAATAAAAAAAGCTTTCTGTTTCTTTTATGGGAGAGGAAAGAAAAGAATTTATTTTATTCTTTAAATAAATATATATATATAAAAAATATCTCTGATCGAATAATATAATATATTACATCTGCTGTCTCGTTAATTAAATGGATCATTCGAGAAGACACATCGATCGTTAGATCGAGACACAAGTTGATAAATATCAGAGTACTCTGTCGTAAATATTTTATAAAGATAATTCTCTTGTCATTTTTCTTCTTCTTCATCTTCTTTATCTTCATCTTCATCTTCTTTTAACTCGTATCGAATAGAAGAGAAATAGAAGAGAAAATGAACGTTCGAAAATATATAATATATAAGTAGTTTTACATACCGCGTTTTATGTAAAGGAATATTTGATTTATGAATAGAAAAGGTATACAAGAAAGAAAGAATAAAAAAAGAAAGATATTAAAAAATAATGAGAGAGAGAGAGAGAGAGAGAGAGAGAGAGAGAGAGAGAGAAGAAAAGAAAAAGAAAAATTAGAAGAGAAAAATTTGGAAGTATTTCACGCAAGGTGCTTCTTAAAGCGAATATACGACACTGGTTGTTTTTTTTCTGTTTTCTTTTTTTTTTAACTCTCTCTCTCTTTCTCTCTCTTTTTTTCTCTCTTTTTTTCTCTTTCTTTCTCTCTCTTTTTCTCTTTCTTTCTCTCTCTTTTTCTCTTTCTTTCTGTCGTGGCAGCTGGTTCGCATAAACGTAGGAAACACTAAACTCCAGGCCTCGACTTTGAACGACCGTATCGCAAACCCCCCTGTGTGCGCCTTATTTTTAATAAAAACTACGAAAGAGAAGGACGAACGAACGAACGAACGAACGAAACGAGACGAACGATGAAATTAAAAAGTAAGTTAAAAAATAAAATGAAAAAAAAAAAAAAAAAAAAAAAAAAAAAAAAAAAAAAAAATGAACAAATAGAAACTATAAGGATGCGCAAAAATTTGATAGCTTTTCATTTTTTCTTGTTGAAATAAATTATACACGGTGTGTTGTGTATATGTGTTGAAATTATTTATTACCTACGATCGATATAAGCATTGTCAAAACGTTGAATATTTTAATTCATGACTATATACATTTTTCCAAATAATTTTTACCTTTACCAATTAGCTTTTCATTCATATATTTAATTAAAAATTATTATTATATTAATAATTAAAATATCATAACAATTTTTAACATTTATTTTTAGACGCACACAATTCAATAAAGTATACAAAATTTTATATGTTTAGTGTATAATTAAGCTCGAATTTTGTTTAAATCCATAAAATTATCATCAACTTACCGGAAATCCCATCGTAGGTCCACCATTCCTCCCAGCTTGCTTCGGATTCTGTAACATGAAAGAATCAAAAATTATCTGATCTGTACTTCATTATAAAAAACTTTTCTTTTTTTTGTTTTTCGTTCTTTTTTCTTTTTTTTTTTTTTTTTACATCGAACGATACTACGAAATTATTAGATGGCGTATATTGAATCGATCGTTTCCCTGTGGTTTTATCGACGTTTCGATATTCTATCGCGTGGTAGATCAATTATATTGTTCTACTTTTTTCTCTCTCCCTCTCTCTCTCTCTCTCTTCCTCTTTCTAACCAACGAGATCAGGCTACATCGAATGTTGGTACTTTTAATTAACCGAAAACTAAGTTCCTAACGTGAATGATATCTAAAATGACCAAATTTCTATATCATTATATGATCTTTTATTTTTTCTTTTATTACACACGAGTTATTAACACATGAATTCAATAAGACACGGATAATAAAAACACTTTCGAACGAGATTTATTAAAAAATGAAAAATAATATATATAAGTTAAAGTTATTAACACATGAATTAAATAAGACACGGATAGTAAAAACACTTCCGAACGAGATTTATTAAAAAAGAAAAAAGTAAAGTACGATAAAGCATGATACATTTTTGATCAGTTTTAAAAACTGAATATACTCCAACAGATACACACACACACACACGTATAGAGCATTTATACAAACACATATAAAAAAACGTAGAAGAAAGTTTACTTCTTTTACAAAGTTGTATTAAAAAGTAAGATGATGCATATTTAATGTTAATTAAAAGTAGTAAATGTGAGTAATAGATAAAGAGAGAGAGAGAGAGAGAGAGAAATAAAGAGGTGGAATTAATTGAAGAAGAAAATATCGAAATGGGAAAAGTTAAAAGTTGGTTCCATCATTGCGGTAACCCAAAGACAAAAGAAGTTACTCGCGAGTATAATTACTCGTAATATTCGATCAATCCTTCTGGTAAAATAAAGAAAGAGAGACATAAAGAGAGAGAGAAAGAGATAGAAAGATCGATTTAACGATTTCTGATCGTCCCTCCATAGACTGGGGTGGGGTGGCAGGGGAAGGGGATGATCAGAAACCTAACAGAACTTGATCGGTATCGCGTGGTGGTGGTTTCATGCACGTCGAGCATGCTGAGCTGACGTCTACGATTTAATTCTCTCTCTCTATATATCTCTATCTTTCTCTAGAGAATAGTAATAGTAATAGCACAGTTACTCGAACCCAAATACCTATGCGCTTGACCAATCACCGATCTGATTAAATGTTTGACCGATAAAATCCTCTTCTGTTCTCCTTCAGTGTTATTACTTAACGTTTTCATTTCCTTGTTATTTGAATTCACTTTGTTTTTTTTTTGTTTCTTGTGCGTTTATTTTTTCCTTTCTAATTTTTATTTCTTTCTAATTTAATTCTTTTTTTCACATATCTTTTTATACGATGTTTTAATTGAAATATTTGAAATTGTAATATATCACATTGGTTTTATATCAGATCTCGTTTTATTAATATTATTATTATTATTATTATTAGTATCGAAAATGACTCGATTTATAACGGATCTATATTATCTTAAAAATTAGAAACTATTAAATGCATTACTTTTATTAGCATATATATTATTTTCAATATAAACAAAAAATATCACTTCAGATAGCCAATAAATATTTTATTGCAATAATAATCATAGAATACTGTTTCCATTAGTCGTTATGATTTGATACTTCCTTTTTTTTTTTTTTGTTCTTTGTCCTTCTCTTTCTCTCTCTCTCTCTCTCCATTTCATACACTCAATAAATCCAAATACGATTATTAGTTCATAAGATAAATAGAACGTCAAGCAGAGATCCATCTATTTCTCTATTATATATATATACACATACATATATATACACAAATACATATAGATATCTATATATATTTATATAGACGTATATATCCTTCTCATTCCATCTCGTTTGGTCGAGGTTATCACACGACTCCTAGCACCGAAGTTGACCCATATTCGATTATCTGGACGCATGCTATTCAGTCTAGTACTGCAAACTAATTGCTTCAAATTGGAAAACTTTCTCCGAATCGTACTCCGAACGATCTTCTCTCTCGAGCATCCAATTGTCAATCTCCGTTTCGTTTCATTTTATATACATTTTTCCTTTTTTTTTTCCTTTCTCTTTCTTTTTTTCATTTTTTTTACTTTTTCTTTTTTTCTTTTTTCATCGATATTTATAACAATGTTCCTTAAATGTATTTATCATTATTATTTCCTTGTGTTCTCTAGTTTCTTCTTTTTCCATTTGTTCTTTTATTATTATTTCTCAAGTAAGAAAAAGGAAAGATAGATAAAAAGTGAATGATAAAGAGTAAAAGAGTCAGAAAGAAAGAGAGAGAGAGAGAAGAAATTTTGCCGAGTTTTTCTCGTCTGAATCAAGCGAACAGGAACAAAAAAATATTTCCAGATGAGTCTATCTCTCACAATCAGATCCGTAACAATAGCGTCTCATCAATTATGTATAAACGAAAAATGAAAAAAAAAAAAAAAACAAAATAAAAAAATATTTAACAAATATAAAAATAAAAATATATAAGAGAATATATATATATATATATATTATAGTTAAAAAATAAAAATTATAATTAAATGAAAAGTATAGAAAAAAAACAATATGATAATATTAATATAATATAATTAGATATGTTTAAAAATGTATAATGCAAAATTAGGATTAAAAATAATATGATCGAAAGAATCGCAATGTCGAATTCTCTAAAATGGCAATGTACAATAAAATTGAAAAAAAGAATTTTAAAAAATGATGAAAATATCGAAAGGATATTCTAATGGGGTCGCCACTCAAGCGACGAATGCATAATTAGGGGTATTAAAAAATGAATAAATAAAAAATTAATAAAATGTCGAAAGTATTGCAATGGCGATTCCTTGAAAATGTCGAGTAAATAAATATTTAAAAAAAAGGAATTTTTATAAAAATGATTAAAATATCGAAAGAATTCCAATGGCATATACGTAAATGTTAAAAAAAAAAGAAAGATAATTAAAATATTGAAATGACTTAAATAGGGCGTTTAAATGATATTTAAACGTACAATAAAATGTACAATATTTTAATACAGAAGTAAAAATTATTTCATCGAAAAATTAGAAATAATTATACGTTTTCATAAGTGTGAATTGGATAAAAAAATAAAATTATTAAAATGTATAAAATATCAGAGGGATATAACAATGATGAATTGTACATGCATAATTACATTTTCCTATGACACGTTGCATGTGTAGATCAATGCGCGAAGATGAACGCAACGTACACGGATAACAAAATTACCGGCTAAATAATATGAATTTTGAAGATATGTAAAGGACCAGGGAGAGCGGGATAAAACGATATACCGGGTGTCCCATTTTAATTAATCGCTACGCTAAACTATTCATAGAAAAAAATTGCTTTTTTGATTGATTCGTTTGAATCGATTTGAGATTCATTTTTGTCGTTGTAGATGAAATCTCGTTGAGAAGAGATTAAAAAGACTTTTTTCTTTTTTTTTTTTTTTTTTTTTTTNAACTATTCATAGAAAAAAATTGCTTTTTTGATTGATTCGTTTGAATCGATTTGAGATTCATTTTTGTCGTTGTAGATGAAATCTCGTTGAGAAGAAAAAAATTTTTTTTTTTTTTTTTTTTTTTTTTTTTTTTCATTTCAAATAACACACGTGAAAGCGAAAAATTTGGATTGCACAGTAGTTTACTCGAATATTCTTCGTTATTTTACGTTACAACACAAATTCTCTTTTTTAATTATTATTATTATTATTATTATTATTATTATTATTATTATTATTATTTAAACAATAAATATCGTTTACGTAATAATCCGAAATGAAAATATTATTCGCGACGCGATTAGAGTTAAATGTTGAAATGAAAATGTGTTATTTGCATCGACAGAATAAATTTAATGAATAAATAAAATAAAATATTTAATTAATTTATATAAATTATTCTATGTGTAATAATAATAATATAAAATATATTGTTGAATATATTAACGACGTGTGTGGTAGGATATTCTGGGAAAGAAAGGGTTTGTTTGAAATTACGAAAATAGGCTACCTTGTATATAGAAGTATGACAGCAAACGCAGAGGAAACACGGGAAGAGCGAAGCATAATCGATGCATCGAACGAAGCCGCGTATTGTCGCATTTCGATTAATCAATGGGAAGAACCAGCAGAGGTAGACAGGATAATCGGTCACGACAAAGCGTGCTACGAATAAAGACCGTTTATGCGATTGTTACACGCTTGTATCCGAACGTACTAACACTGACACATACACATACGCATACACAAATATATACTTACAGGTTAGCATATAGTAATACATATTATTATTAATGAAAATGCAACCGAGAATATACAATTTAGAATAAAAGATCCATTATTTTTTTGTATACGTACACCATAAAAATAAATTTAATAAATTCCAAATAAAACGTACGTCGGATTGTGTGAAAACGAAAACAAAAAAAAATACTTTAATATTTTATATCCATACAAAAATAAATAAGATTAATATATATATATTAATTTGTATTAATAATTGTATAATTAATTATTGATCGTTGATAATGTAAATACATATTAATATGCATAATTATCGTTGACAAAGTTTCATTGAGAATCTTTTCGTAAATTGGTAAAGCTCGTTGTGTTTCTCTACGAATCTGTTATACACATACATACATATATATATAGAACATACTTTAAAAAGTATAAGAAGAAAAAGAAGAAGAAGAAGAAGAAGAAGAGAGGAAATATACTGCAGGTATAGTCTCTCGTTGTTCGTTTTAAGTACCGAAGCAAGGCTAGTAGTATAGATATATAGAAAGACGTCCACGTTGAAAGTTAGCGTGTAGGAAGTGTATAGGATCGTGGGAAGAAAAGAAGAGGGAGAGATCATAAATCATTCGGTAGGAAAACTTGAGATACTTTAGGCA